GATTATAGTAAGTCGATGCAATCCACACTTAGTTAGAAGAAAGTATTACAGCAATAGTTAATGGGCCCCACGTTTTTATTTTAGTCTAATATGCCTAAAAGCTATTCTGCCTAGTACTAAAATATTTCTGAACTAGAAGTTCAAAATACCTAATTGTTATTATTATTTTCTAGTTTTCAGTGCACATAAGATAAAACCGTTTAACTTAAAAGTTTTTTTACCGATTTTTTTTATTAGCAGCACATTCCCCCGATGAAAAAGACATTCTTTTTCTGAAAGAAGCCATAGGTAATGTGAAACAACGAATGTATAGTTCGAGAGACTTGCAATCATCCAGTATTACACGTAATTTAAAAAAATCAATTTTATTTATGCACGCTATTGGCGGGTGTGACACAACATCAGGATTTCTTGGAAAAGGAAAACAACAACACGTACAAATATTTAATAAAGAAAAAGACCTTGATAGTATCGTCGATATTTTTAACAACGCAAAGTCAACACCTGAAGAAATTGAAAAAGCTGGTTTATACGTTTATACTGGTTATATACGTTTATACTGAAACTATACAAACTTCAATAATCTGAAGGGAGCCTTAGTGAGCAAAGATACGCTTGTTAAAACTAAGATACGCTTATTAACTAACTTATTGAAAGTTAGTTGGTCAAGCAAACAGCACGGTACTTTTATCAAAATTGCCTCCCACATCTACTGCAGCTAGGCAACATTCCCGGAGCACATATCTTCAAGTACAAATATGGCAAGAACAACCTATAAAACCCGACCAGTGGGGCTGGAAGAAAATCAACAACACCCTGTCACCTTTATATACAACAGAATCGCCCGCCCCTGTTTCAATTATGCCATTAATAACGTGCAATTGCAAACAAGATTGTGTAAAAAGATGCAGTTGCATTAAAGCCGGCATGAAATGTACAACTATGTGCGGAACCTGTCGTGGGCAAAGTTGTTCGAATACTGTGAGCACATTCTAGAAACTATAGACGATGACAATATGTAGATGAAAGTATGAATGTTAGTTTACTTTGCGTGTATATTTAGCACGTTAAAATACCTCGGGAGACTATAATTTGAAAGGCGACCTGTATTTTTTTTGTACTCCATTTTTCAAACGGTTATTGCTCGAAATGCATTGGATAAATATAAATAATGAATAGAACCTTTTTTGTAGAAAATTTTATGAGGAATATTTTTGGTAAGTATAATCCAAATTTTTTTGGGGGACCAACGGATTCTGAGAAAAAAGCGAAAAACCATCGAAGTGCGTATTGGGGGTGGTTTTTTGGGGTGAAGCTCACACTTTAGAGTTAAGAACTCTTTTGATTTTGAAAAGGCCCTTTTTGGTGCGTCTAATCTCAACATATCAAAACTTTATAAATTTTTTCTTCTATTCGGCTATTTTAGGTCTAATATAAATATACTATATTTATTTGAAAGCAATTAAACTGTAAACTTGTTTATTAAATCAGATAGGATTTTTTGCTTCTGATAAAATGGCACATCGGATTATTTGTATTTTAGAATTATAAAGGATAGGACGTTTTGCTTGTGGTAAAAGTAAGATAGGATAATTTGCTTTCATAGTTTTATAAAAAAATGAAAAAACTGTAGAAATCACCTTAATTTTAGTTCAAAATATAACTAAAAAATCCAACAAGCACAAGAAGCGTGTCACGACTCGCTGGTTTTTAACGCAAAGTTATGAAGATAGGAGAAATTGCTTTTTAATATCACCTGATTATAGTTAGGACCTTTTGCTTTTTAATCAAAATAAGTAGATAGGAGTTTGTGTGACCAAAATAACAGCTGGTTTCAGATAGAAGGTTTTCTTTTCTTTAGCTTATGCCGTAATTTTTTTATTTTCAGATATTACCTTTTGTCAATAAGTGCATAATGACTCATAGAACTTTATGCTAAAATAATCTCAATTTTGAAAAAAATGGCAGATAGGAGCATTTGCCACATCACCCGCGATTTTACGAATGAATCATTGTATTTCCCGGTATTTAATATTTTTGGTTGAAGCTTTCATGGTACGAGCCCTAACAACTATATGTTGGGGACAAGGTCATATTTTGGAATTATTGCCCTGGTTTTTCAAAATGACTGAAAAATATATGTTTAATTTTTTAAATATAAACATAGCCATATATCCTAAACAACTTGACAATATTTTTATGAATTTGTAAATCAATCCATATTTACAGTAGCGGATTTTGTTCATAAAAGGACAAATTTGTCTGACAACTAAATGTTGGGACAAGTATTTTTAAATAATTAATATCATAGGCGGCTTTGCTATAAACGTCACAAATGTCGCAAACTGTTTACTTCAGCATTGACAGCTTGTAAGTGACTCGATACTTTGAGTAGTGAGGCTTACTGTAAGTAATTTTAATTTTATTAATTTTCAATTTTGTTAATTTAATCCAAAGTAATGGTCCGTGGAAAAACTACAAATCAAAAACTACGCGAAATTATCATTCGTCAATACAGTACTGGAAAAACAATTCGAAAAATCTCTGATGATTTAAGTATTCCAAAAACCACGGTCTTTAATATAATAAAAAAATACGGCGAATCTGCCAGTGTAGGCGTTAGAGGTAAAAGTTCGGGAAGGCCAAAAGTTGTATCTCAGAGAGATTTACGAAATTTAGTAGAAATTTGCAAGTCTGCGAGAAGAAGTACTCTTCGCGAAGTAACAGTTAAATGGAATACTGTAACTGGATTAAATATATCAAGATAATGTTGCCGAAAATATATCCATAAATGCGGTCTGGGGTTTTACAAGGTAAACTTTATTTTGTGTGGATACTCAATTACCTGAAGATTATTGATACAAATTCTTATTTAGGCCAAAGAAAAACCGCTACTGACAGAAATTCAAAAGAAAAATCGCTACAATTGAGCAAAATCTAAATTATCGTGGACACAAAATGATTGGAATAAGGTCATATTTAGCGATGAGTCTAAATTTGATGTTTGCGTTGGAGTTTATCGAAAAAGAATAATACGAAATAATGCAGAAGCCTTTCATAAAGATTGCTTAAAGAGGGTTGTTAAATTTCCTAAGGGGATTATGGTTTGGGGTTGCATGTCAGCAAGAGGTTTGGGCAAATTAAATTCTATAGATGGCACTGTTAACGCCCAAAAATATAAACATATATACTTGAGACCTCACTTTTGCCTAGTGCTCAAGAATTGTTTCCAAACGAAGACTATATTTTTCAACAAGATGGAACATCGTGCCATTCAGCAAAATCAACTAAAAATTGGTTCGGTAATAATAATATAAAATTTCTATCCTATCCTGCAAGTAGTCCGGACCTCAATGTTATAGAAACTGTGTGGCATTAAGAAACCACCCTCAACGAACAATTTTTGATTTGCGGACAAAACTGCAGGAAATTTGGGATAATTTTTCTCCTCAAATGTACCAATCTTTGGTAAATACAATGCCATTAAGAGTTCAGGCAGTTGTTAAGGCGAAAGGTGATGTAACTCCGTATTAAACAAATTTCTTGTTGTGCTGTCCCAGTATACTCTGTTTTTTTTCTCAGGTAAGATTTCGACAGACGATGACAGAAGAAAAGCAGATGACGTCCCATACCAATCTATTTATTTTACTAAAAAAAGTTTCTAATAATTTTTAAGTTATCTATGGATGGGTTTAAATATAAATCCGTCATGCGTCGTGTCTTGTTGTTTTAACCAGTTTTATTGGTTTATTTAAAAAATGACAGATCGTATTTCAATTTTATTGGTTTGACGGAACGATGAACGACAAACGGACGCCGATGCGTATGAACTCGCCTTTAGATTTTTGTCATTTTTGACGCTTGTCAAAGTCTTGCCAAATTATAGGTTATAATTTTGTATCAACTTTTGTTAAATACCCTGCGTTTTGGAAGATAATGCATTTTGATTCGTATTATTACGTGTGTTTTGTGTCTTTTGAAGTCAAGTGGAGGAAAAATCGAGTGAAAATTAACTGTAGACCCAGAGCACAGTTTATGGTTAATATTCGCTGCCCAGGCAGAAAGTCTTCTACACCAATGAAGTTGCCATCGATAAAGTTTGTATACCATTTCGTCGTAGATAAGTGCATCTCGTATATGGTAGAAGGATCAAACTAAACACATACTAAAAACTGGAGTAGCTGTAAAATATCGACATCACACGATAGGTAAATAATGGATTTTAGTACTGCAGAAAAATAATGTCAAAAGGTACTGGTTTAAAAAATTAAGATTAAAGTTAATTAATCAACCTTTAAGGTATAAAATTTGGTAGGTGTTATTATTAATAAAATAGTTTGTTTTATTTACCTATGTTGTTTTATTTATTCCTGTGGAATATTACAAATTTGTATTTGTACATAAGTTATATTGATAAATATAATCATAAATGCGGGTAGTTTCATAAAGCTTGAAAGTAAATAATAGTTCTTTTATATATTTTTTTGGTATGTAGTGTCTTGTTCTTGTTTGTTTTGTATTAACACATACCGTTTTTTATGAAATAAAATAACTCGATAACATTTTTTCAGTTTTATACAGTTTTTTTCACAATATTTTGAAGTAATCACTTGTCATCTTGTCAATCAAATTTTAAATAATTCCTGCTATGCGTTCCAGTTGTACCAACTTATTTCTTTGTAAAATAAAATAAACTACTTTGAAATTAAAATGACAGACACATCTATCACTGTCAAGGATCTTCTCGTTGGACAGACTATATATAGTTGTCAGCAAATTTGGCTTGATTTTGGCAAAATAAGCTATTATCAAAAGTGATTTGTTTGCAAAGTTATAAAAATATAGTAAAATTGTCTAGATCATATTGTAATGTTTGAATTTAGAATAATAAACAAAATAGATTGAGTCGCTTTAACAAATTACTATTTTTATTGCAAAAAAAGACCTGGTCCCAACATATAGTTGTTAGGGCTCGTAAATACACCACTAAGCAATCTTACCTTTAAAAGCTTCCCCGTGTTTGGTGACCAAAAGTAATTGGCAGGCGTTAAAGCTGACATCGGTAACGATCCCGGGACTCTGCATAGAGAAGTGGCACATGCGAAAAACCCGATCAAAACTTTGCCAGATCCGTACACTTCCGTCAGTTTTCACAATTGCTATTCTAAGATCGCTACTTTTGTTTCGCAATTCGGGGTACAATTCCTCGTTAAATTTTCCTCCGACAGCAGATATGGCCAATATATCATGTAATCTAGAAATAAAAAAAAAACATTCTACAGGGTGTCATTGAAATGGTGTAAAGTCGGGGGGTGATAGTACTCCTAAAAATAGTAAAAAAAGTTCCTATAAGTATAGGGCGGAAAATGCATATTAAGGGAGTTAGGAGCACTAAAACGGTGAATTTAAAAAACGGTTGTTTTGAAATTGTAGGCTTAAAAGACGAGATAAAATTTCGAAAAAAAAATAAATTTTGACCCTAAATCAAATGGTGATACTGAAAAATTATTTGGAAAAGCGGAAAGGGTAGTTTTTGCAAGGGTAGGGGTTATTTCGTGAATAACTTTTTTGAGGTTATTTTTTTTGCAACGTGGGTTCATTTTTTGAAAACTACATACTTTTTCCTACAAAAAAGGTACCCTTGTTGAACATCGCCCAGAGCGATGGTTTTCGAGAAAATTGAAAGCAAAGAGATTGCTCTGATGGGTTGCTAACTGGTTAATCAACCTAAACTTTTGAAAGTTATGGCGGTTCAAAAGTAACCAAGTAATTATTACATAATTAATTGGAAAATCAAAATTTCATGATTTTTAAAACATCTTATTGCTTTAAAAACGAAATAAACTTTTTTGGTTTTAAAAAAATTTGGTTTGCTCAGTGCCGATTAATACTGAAAAGCAACTACGGCAACGCATTATTGATTGTTCCAATCAAATTCGGACAACACCAAGGATATTCCACAGGGTATCTAGGCAGATCGTGGAGAAGAAGATCAGATGTCTACATTGAAATGAATGGTGGTCACTTTGAACATTTACTATGAATCAATTAAGGAATGCATTATTTTAATAAGGAATTTTGGTAATTGGATTATTTCGTTTTTAAAGCCACATTTTTACACCATTTCAATGACACCCTGTATATCTGTCCAACGACAAAATCCTTGACATTGATGTACTCTGTTTTTTTTCTCAGGTAAGATTACGACAGACGGTGACAGAAAAAAGAGCAGATGACGTCCCATACCAATCTATTTATTTTAATTAAAAATATTTCTAATATTTTTTAAGTTAAATATGGATAGGTTTATATATAAATCCGTCATGCGTCGTCTCTTGTTGTTTTTAACCAGCTTTATTGGTTTATTTCAAAAATGACAGATCATATTTCAATTTTATTGGTTTGACGGAACGATGAACGACAAACTGAGAAATCTGTAGACTGTAATAACTTACTTCCAAGCAATGGGTCTGCATTCGTGATCATGTAGAGTATAAACAAATCCCCTCATAGTGCTAATTACGATAGCTCCAGTGCTGGTGCACACCAAGTTAATTCTATCAGAACTCTCTCTAAAGTCCAGAATTGTCACTTTTTTTGGAGCATAAACCAAATAATGGAGTGTGGTACCAAGGCCTAGTTGGCCAGCATTTAATCCCCAAGTAAACATTGCTAAAAAAATGTAAATAAATTATTAATGGGGACAAAATAACCAAACAATAATCAGTTATCATCAAATACCTTTAAGAGTATACCGCGGCCTCCTAAAACACTCATCTGCACGAAAAACGGGCATCTTAAACTGTTGATGTATATTTTAAAGTTTAATATACACTCACCGGCAAAAAAAAACCGGCCACTAAAAACTAGTCCCAATTTCAAAGTTGCATTTCTGACGAACCCCTCATTAGATTTTGATGATTTGTTTTTTTTTAATTGTAAATTAATTCCTTCTTAACGGATGCTACGTCAGAAATTTTATTCCCAATTTATTTTGAGCGAGGGGTGTCTCACTCGGGTAAAAAATGTACACGTACTGCCAAAATATCCTTCCATTGCTAAGCGACTGCCAATGACTATGAAGAAGACTGCCTATGACTGCCATGTAATTATTATAGGCGACTGCCATAAGACTGCCAATGACTGCCAGCGACTGCCAAGAAAATGTACATGTAATTCCAATAGTGAGACACCCCTCGATTTTGAGCATATACAGGGCACAACAATAAGACGAAGTTTTTTGCCCGAACTTTGTAACACGCTGTAGGGTGCAGCAGCTGTAGTAGCTACTGCTAAATCAAATCACATTGTAGCCTCATCTTTTGTGAGCAATTTGTTTTTTTAATCACGACATTATCTCTGTTTGTATTGGAGATACGCTGCTTTAAAACAAACGTCTCGGAAAAGTGCTTCTTTTCCGAGACTTAAAAAAAAAGACTTCAATGCATTGCTCAATATCCCAATTCACATGCAAACGCGCAAACAAGACGTGCTCGACGATGTCTTGGAAGTAGCTGGGGTCCTGTGGCAGGCCTTCTTACAGACAAGCTGTTTTCTTTTAGTCTTCGTCGGATTGTTCTCCGACTGACTTGAATTCTACGCACGGCTTGTAGCAGATGTTGATTCTGAAACGCTGTAATTCTACGATTTCGTAAAGTATTCAGGACAATAAAGCGGTCGTCAATTGCATTTGTCTTCCGTTTTCTTCCGGAACCCACTCGCCTGGTGAAATTTCCCCTTTCCTTATACCGATTCCAGGCATCCTGGGTTGTTGTTCGAGGTATACCCAGGGTATCGGACACGTAACGTTGACTTCGGCCATCCTCAATTAAAGCCACAATACGAGCAACATGCGTCACAGATAATCGCATTTTTTAATTTGACAACCGTTGCACAGTGCTTCGAACATATGGCTCTAGAGGACAAAAATGCAAAACTTCTCTTTTATTGTAGGCAATTTATTCAAACTAGGTTTATTTGACACAAATGATGAGTACTACTAAATGTACTACTACTCTCATTGTACTAAATGATGATGTTCTTAGTCCCACGTTGATGAAAAAAAAATCTTATAAATAATAAAAATGTGGGAGCTGTGTTCCATCTAAGGAAATAATAATTTATAGTATGAAAACGGTGTAAGTATTAAATAAACTCCTGTGATAAAAAAGAATTGGAATAACATTAGAACATGATTCCTACAATATAAGCCAATATAAGATAAAAATGTTTTTCTTTAATGAAAAAGAAACATTAATGCTATATTTAATTAAAAAAAACTTAAGATACTATAAATTTACTTTAGGTCAACAAAATGCATAGATCGTAACTACTCTGATTCAGAAGAATCACTGCTGACAGAATCTTCCAAATTTATAGTATTCAAATCACAGGTAGATAAAATATCCTCACATATAAGATATTTCTGTACATCATTTTCTAATATGTTACTTTTTCGCGTTGTTACTGTTCTTTTTGTTGGTATGAGGGGTTCGGATGTTAATAGTTACCTCTTTAATAGACCATATCAATATATTATTTTTTCGTTTTCTTGGGTATGAGGTTTTATAATAAATTGAAAGATGGAAACTTTTTTATGCGACGTTTCGCTCCAAAATAGTGGGCTTTTTCAGGCACAAATGGTCTCATTTGACTGGAATGTTCATCAATATCTAATAAAGAACACATTTTTTGAAATACAAATAATTTTGAGTTCTTGTCCTTATGATCAAGCCAAGTATTAACCAGATCGGCATTGCTTATCAATTTTACTCCATCTGAAAAGTATTATAAAATAAAGTTCGTCGCAAGCAGACGCAGGTGAACTATACAAAAATTAAAAGTGTATGAATATGACAACAAAAATATTCAATAAATACGATATGTTTTGATATGTTTTTTTTAAATGCCTTTTTGAAGTTTGAAAACGCAAAATTTTTATACACATTTAAGAATAATTTTAAAAAATAAATAAAAACTAAACAATCACGAACTTGTTTAGAAATAAATTTAAAGTACATACTTTGTTTAACAATATCCATAGTGGCTTTCAATTAAGTACGTACTAACTCGTTTACGTTTAACTCCATATACAGAACTACTATGAATGTTATTCTTTTCATTGATATAAGATAATGATCGCAAAATTTATTTTTAGTGAAAATATTTGGTAACAAAAAAACGCTGTTTATGAAAAATAATATACAGGATGGTTGAACATTGCTATAAGTATAAAATTACATATTCAGATATTAGTAAATTTTAACTTTTTTTTTCCATTTTTGTCCATGGGACGAAGCACTGTGCGTTGCCTTGATTTATACATAAAACTTTCTGCCTGCGAAGCATTTTTCCGAGACTTTCATTTTAAAACAGCGTATCTTCAATACAAACAGATATAATGTCGTGATTAAAAAAATACATTACTCACAAAAGATGAGTTTACAATGTGATTTGATTTAGCAATAGCTACTACAGCGGCTGCACCCTACAACGTGTTACAAAGTTCGGACAAAAAACTTTGTCTGATTATAGTGCCCTGTATATACTCAAAATAAATTCGGAATAAAAATTTCTGACGTAGCATCCGTTAAGAAGGAATTAATTTACAATTTAAAATTTAAAAAATCATCAATATTTAATGAGTGGTTAGCGAGAAATCCAACTTTGGAATTGGGAAAAGTTTTTAGTGGCCGGTTTTTTTTGCCGGTGAGTTTATATTGTTGTAGTGGGCCGATTTTGTTGATTTTTAAGCAATATGTAGTTTTTAGTATTTCTTTCTTAATTAAAAATGAGAGTTCCCATCTGTCAATTATACGAGGGAAAACAAAATGTTGATGTTTGAAAAAAACTGCTGTCAAAAAAAATTGTATAGCCTAAAAGTCAAATTTAGTGAATACCACAACTACTGTGACATAAAGATGTGGCTATCTATTTCAAAAATTAAATTGTTCATATGTCATATAATAATGGCGGTACCTGTCATGGAATTAAGCGACTAATAAATTATCATAAATCATTTTTTTTTCAAATGAAAACCCACTTTTTTTATTTCACTATATATTTCACACATATTTTTGGCAGGTAGTTTAAGTAAAAATTTTAATTTTTTTTTTCTCAAAAACGGTTAATGTTAGATATATGCACGCTCCGTCTGGGACACCTTGTATATTGCTAATTGTATTCGGAAAATTGTAATTAGGCAGTTTAAAGTACGGCTTTACGCACTATCGCCATTTTGAATCAACCAACAGAAGCTTTTTGATATGACACGCGTAAACTCGGTAGTAATACTTTTAAGCAGGGTGCAATGATTTAAATCAACTTGATTTAAATCAACGGATTTTTTTATTTTAATCATGGATTTAAATAAAAAAAATCAACTTGTTTAAAAACTTATGATAAATCGAAAAATAACTGTAAAAGTTATAGAAACTTTTTTTCGATTTTTTTATTTTTTTAAAAATCTTGATTTTTTTGCACCCTGCTTTCAAGTCAGTTTAATTCAAGTGACTTGATCAATTCACTTGACTCAATAAAATGACTTAATAAAAAAAGATTATCTATCACCCTTTAATATAAAATATACATAATATTTAAGTGCTGTTTCACATGGGGCGGAGCGTCCGCGCTGTTCGTCCACGTGTTTTTTTTTCAAGGTACGACGAACTGCTTTCATATGAGCTGTTAAATCCGTCGCTATAGTACGTTGATATTAGCATATTTAGAAAAAAAAAATATAAAGTTTCGATATGTTGAGGTTATACGTACTAAAAAAGACTTTTTAAAATCAAGAGTTCCTAACTGTAAAGTGTGAGCTTCACCCCCAAAAACCACCCCCAATACGCACTGCGGTGGTTCGACAGACGACAGACGATGACAGAAGAAAAGCAGATGACGTCCCATACCAATCTAATTATTTAACTAAAAAAAGTTTCTAATAATTTTTAAGTTAACTATGGATGAGTTTAATTATAAATCCGTCATGCGTCGTCTCTTGTTGTTTTTAACCAGTTTTATTGGTTTATTTAAAAAATGACAGATCGTATTTCAATTTTATTGGTTTGACGGAACGATAAACGACAAACGGACGCCGATGCGTATGAACTCGCCTTTAGATTTTTGACGTTTGTCAAAGTCTTGCCAAATTATAGGTTAGAATTTTGTGTCAACTTTTAGTCAAATACTGCGTTTTGGAAGATGATGCATTTTGATTCGTGTTATTACGTGTGTTTTGTGTCTTTTGAAATCAAGTGGAGGAAAAATCGAGTGAAAATTAACTGTAGACCCAGAGCACAGTTTATGGTTAATATTCGCTGCACAGGCCGAAAGTCTTATACACCAATAAAGTTACCATCAATAAAGTTCGTATACCATCTCGTCGTAGATAAGTGCATCTCGAATATGGTAGAACGACCATACTAAACACATACTAAAAACTGGAGTAGCTATAAAATATCGACATCACACGATAGGGAAATAATGGATTTTAGTACTGCAGAAAAATAATGTCAAAAGGTACCTATTGGTTTAAAAAAAATTAAGATTAAAGTTAATTAATTAACCTTTAAGATATAAAATTTGGTAAATGTTATTATTAATAAAATAGTTTGTTTTATTTATGTTGTTTTATTTATTCCTGCGGAATATTACAAATTTGTATTTGTACATTA